TAAGTTATGCTGAAGACCCATTTCATAGCCATAATTCTACTTAACATTTGCAAAAAAAAAAAAGTTACGGTGTTGGGTCACTCAGATAAAATTTGAAATTGCAATCTATGCTTAAGACTAAGAATTGTAAATCCAGGTGACATTTATAAACTGGCCATTCATCTGTTTATCAATACTATAGCTTGGTAAGTTTGTGATTTTTAATTAATCTATCAAAACAGAAAACATCACTGCAGTCTCCAATTAAACTTACTCTTACTAACACTCTATTTAAAAAATAAACTTTTGCTTTCACAAACACGAAACCTACGATTTTATATGTAACATTTCTAACACTTATAATAAATCCCAGCACACCATCACTAAATTGCATTAGAATCCACGGCAAAACCATCTGTGACTTACTCTTCCATCAGCCATGAAACGCCACAAGAGCTCCTGAGGCAATTTCACTTTCGGAATGAGTTTAAAGGGACTTTCTCAAAACTCGCTGGAGTAAAGGACGGGGGTATTTCCCCAGAACCGCTCTGAATGCAAGACTCAGCTTTTGTAAATAAAATGTCATCCTCTTAGGCCAGTCTTACGTGAAACAAAACAAGTGGAGGAGTAAGATGCGCGACATAAGATGCAGCAACCAGGTTCAAAAGGCAAATTGTTGACGAAAGGAACAGGGGATTGTCAGAATGGTTGGCTAACAAAGCAAGACACATTAATTTTCCCTGAAAACGAGTCAAGCACAGCCCTGCCACACTCCTCCGCGGCTGAGCGAGGGGAAGCACTGAAGCAGCGCCACGAGCAGACCCACAGGGAGAGCAGCCCCATCCCTGCGGGCCCGGGCATCCTCATCCCTCCCCAGGAACACATCCAGAGCCTCCCGTGCCAGGGCAGCGCCGCCACCGCCAGTCCCCGCTGCCACCGCGGCGCTGTCAGCACGGCCCCGGGCCCGGGCACCCACCTGCGCCCCGCGGGCTCGGCACAGCCGCCGCCGGGGGAAGCTCGGGGGCCGACGCAGCTGCTCCCTGAGCTGCTTCCCGGGAGGGAAGGAGGGAGGCGAGGGCCGCGGTCCCTGAGGGAGAGGATCGGGAGCGGCTCCTACGGCAGCCCGGAAGGCCCAGGGAGACGGGCGTGACGTGGGTGAAGCCGCGCCCCGCCCGCCATGTCCGCGCCCTGCCCTCACTCGGGGCGTGTCCGCTGCCAGGCGCGCAGGGGCAGGGCTCCCTTCGCTCCGGTGGTCTGTGGTGTTCGGTCTCTGCGTGGTTTCGAGCCTAGTGAAAAAGAAAGGAATCATGGAATCACGGCGTCGGTTGGGTTGGAAAAGAGCTCTGAGGTCATGGAGTCTGACATGACGGAACGCCACCATGTCAGGCAGACCATGGCGCTCAGTGCCGTGTCCTGTCTTTCCTTAAAATCTCCAGGGACTGTGGCTCCACCGCCTCCCTGGGCTGCCCGTTCCAGTGTCTAATCTTCCTTTCCGTGTGGAAATTCCTCTAAATATCCAACCAAAGCTCCCTGACACAGCTTAAGGCCCTGACCTGTCATCCTGTCCCTGAGGAGATTTACCCCATCAATGTTTGAGAGAGGTGCCAAGAGCATGGACCAGGCTCTTCTTGGTGGCACCCAGCAACAGGACAAGAGCCAATGGGCAGAAACTGGTGCACAGGGAATTCCACCAGAATATGGGGAAAAACTTCTTCCCTGAGCAGTGACCGAGCACTGAACAGTTTGCCCAGAGAGGGTGAGGAGTTTCCCTCACTGGAGATATTCCAGAACCATCTGGACACAATCCTGTCCCATGTGCTCTAGGATGGCCCTGCTGGAGCAGGGAGCTGGGGCCAAATGACCCCCGTGGCCCCTTCCAACCTGACCCATTCGTGGTTCTGTGAGACATAACCCATGAAACAGCAACTAAGTGATATTATAAGTTCTAAGTGACATTACAAGTTCTAAGGGACATCCAGATGTTAGAAAAATAAATTATTTGTTGATAGAATTACCGTGTTAAGGTTTGGGGCTCAACATGTTTCAATGATCTCAGACCTTGGGGAAGGTTAACAGAGCTTGGGAAGTAGGATCTACTACTGATAGTTGACACAAAGAATGCAGAATTTACAGGCCACAAGGACATTTGGCAGAACTCCCAAGATAAGGAAGAAACAGATAAAACCAACTCAGTAGCTGTGCTGAAATCAGCTCCAACTGGGTAAGAGGTAATTCTGGCATTACCAAAACATCACAACAACTGACCCAAGAAACCCACAGACTCAAAACATGAGAAAGTGCTTATTAGCATAAGAAGTGAGAGAATCATTAACCAGTAGAAGATAGAATACTAATTAAGAAAAGAACTCTCCAACTTGTAGCAGATTAACAATAATGGCTTTGTTTGCTAAAATGTATAAATAGTAAAAAGTTTTGATGGTGGGTGTGCTTGATTGGTGAAAGACCACCAGCACCCAGGCTTGAAATAAATAATGTTTCTCTCAAGTGTGTAATTATTGGCTTGTTGCACACTGGTTAATGTGACAACAGCAGGGCCTGCTGGCTCCAGAGGATCTGGTGGCTCATCCCTGGGATATGAGGGGGGTCCCCAAGGCTGCCTGAGGGACTGTCCCTCCGGGAAAGACTGGGTCTGGGTTGGGGGCGAGTGTTCTGCAGCCACCCCTCATCTGCCACCTCTGTGTGTGTGAGGCAGAGATGTGCAGGTTGGGGGTTTTTTCCTGTATTTTTTGAAGGCAGCAGTGTTGCAGGTGAGATTTAGCCTGGGAGTTTGTATTTCCCCATCAGTGGGGGTGGGCAGGGTCTTGCCTGGTTGTGGGACTGTCAGGAGTTAACCTGGGTTCAGAGACTGGGCTGGAGGGATGTGGAAAACCTGGTGCTAAACAGCACCTCAGGCTGAGGCAGTGTTCCAGTGTCACTTTTAGTCCCCAGAATGTCCAGGAATGGGAGCAGGGAGCAAAGCTTCAGGGATTTGGCTGCAAAACGTGGCTGCTCAATACTGTGTTTTGTATTTGAGTTCCTCAGGGGGTTGAGGCTTGTTCCTGGAATGTTTTTGGTGCCTGTAAAAGACAAACTTTTCTTCTAATGGGTAACACCAGTTCCAAGTAACTCATGTGGGCTAATTCTTTCATGTGACCAGCAGCATGTTGTCCCAGCAGCAAAGGGATTTAATTTTATTTTACTTGATTTTATTGATGTGTGGCTGAAATAATTGCTCAGCAGTGTGATTTATTCTAGAATGGATGGACCTGCAAGACTGTCCTAATATTTTTCTTAGGAAGTCAGGCAAGCTACCATGAGGGTCTTGTTTGCATCTTTGGAAATGGGAACTTCATGGGCTTGTGAACAAGACACTGAACTAGAATTTCAGGATTCCATGTTCCCCCATGTGCATAAATCAGTCAGGCTTGCCTGCTGATAAACTCAGAGAAAATTTGCTTTATGGTAGTCTTGAGTTCAGTGCTTGAAACTTGACTACATCTGTGGTAACAGTGATGGAATCTCCTGCCCATGATGGCCAAACATGAAGAAGTTAACAGGAAAGGATTTGCAGATCAGATGCCTTTCAGAAGTGGGACTTTCTAGTGTTGGAAGTTTTAGGCTCTTTTCTTATTTTTCTGCTTCATTTTCACTACAACTGCTTTAGGAAAAAAACCTGTAATTTTCTCATTAGACAATTGTGTGTGTAATATTCCAGTCTCTTGAAATGTTAGTATAGCAACTATCTGTGGTAACAGTGATGGAATCTCCTGCCCATGATGGCCAAACATGAAGAAGTTAACCGGAAAGGATTTGCAGATCAGATGCCTTGCCTTTCAGAAGTGGGACTTTCTAGTGTTGGAAGTTTTAGGCTCTTTTCTTATTTTTCTGCTTCATTTTCACTACAACTGCTTTAGGAAAAAAACCTGTAATTTTCTCATTAGACAATTGTGTGTGTAATATTCCAGTCTCTTGAAATGTTAGTATAGCAACTTTTCTCATAACTGAAACTACCCCACTAACGAGTGAAAACTTACTGAAAATTCCCTTTCATAATGTCCTTGGAAATTAAATTGAAAGATTCTCCAAAGGCAAAATGCCTTTTCTAAATTAGTTCCAGTCAGTACAAAGCACAGTAATATCCTAGAGAAGCCTGAGGAAAGCACAAAGTGTTTGTATGAAAGAGCTTACAAAGGAGTTAGTTACCTAGTCCATGCATAAACCTGCACTGACTTTAAAACCAAGGTTTTCAAGGTCCATGTTTAATTAAGATAACTAAATCAATCAAAGGACAATGAAGTTTTTAAAGTATTTCCTTCCAGGTAATTTCTTGTTTCATGTGGACTAATTGTTATCTAGTATTTTTCCCTGTTATCTGTTAGGTTTATCTATGCTTTATCTTATTTTCCCCCCTTCCTAATCCTTCTTTAAACACTTTAACTACTGTGAAGAAAAAAACCCAGTTACTATGATGTCCCATGGCTACCCATTATGAAATAGGGAGACATTTCCCATCTCCAATTTTTGTGAAGACTACATTTGAAAAAGAGACCTGTCTGAGCACTTGCAGCCAGAAGTGGGTGATACAAAAATCTTGTTTGTGTCATTGAAAAGCACCTGCAAGAGAGACTCTCCTCCTTCTAAAGATCTTGCAGAAGGGGAGACCTCATTAGTTTTCTAATGAAACACTGGGGATAGATGGGAACTAAAAATATATTAGGATAAGATTTATGTATCAGAAAGGAATTATATTTACTAAGTCTCATTACAACAATAGAAATGAGCAGAGGTTTTATTAATTGATTTAAAAATACATCAGAAATTACCATGAATATCTTGAAAGTGAATGATGAAATCATATGTTACAAATTATAAAGATATTAAAGATTATATAGTCAGAATCTTCTGTGGCTAATAATGGTGTTAAACCCTCAGCAGGTTGATCTGTGTAACCGGAAGGACTACTTTGCTATTTTAAGTTTTAGTCAAGTTTTTGACTAAGTTTTAGGTATTACTGAATGTCCTCATTGTGAGACATACAACCCAAGCCTCCTTGCAGCTTCAGAAATTCTGGGCCCTTTCCTATTTGGGAAAGGGTAAAAGTTCAGTTTGTTGCAGGCTGGCGTGCATTTTGTAGCAGAAATCTGCTGATGTGCCCAAAGTGCTGCAGTGGGTGATTTCAGAGGAGGCTTTTGGCAGGAGCTGGAAGTGTTGCAGCCGTTCTCTTTGCTGAGACTGTTCAACAGGCTTGAGCTTCCCAGCTGCCTGAGCTCAGACAGTTCACTTGCTCCTTCATGTTCCTTGGTCTGTGCTGTGCCATTTCCCTTTGAAATCAGTCTCTGGTTGTCAAAACTCCACGGTGTGCTGTTGCAGTGGGAGAGATCCCAGGAATCTCCTGTCCCCAGGTGCCTTCCCAGGTGGGCGCGCCATAGCAAATCCTCTTCTGAGTCGCCTCCATTGGATGTCTCCAGTGTGACCTTTCTGACTGGCACGTCTCCTCTACATGACTTTGATCTTTTAACTTTCTTATTAATCAGAACAGGGTTGATCATTGATTCTGGCAGAACAGATTCATGTCCACCTGCTGGAGAAATGCATTTGTGCGCGTTAGTATGGTGGCAAAAATCAAGGGTATGATTTCAGCAGCATTAACTCGTCTGAAAAGCTTTAACATGAGTTTTAACTGTGCTCTTTCTTTCAGTGGCTGAGAGTATTGCAAGTTCTTTTGATGCCAAATTAAGGAGTAGAACTACTTCATGCTTGCTTTTGCAGTTCTGAGAGCATAAATGGTATCCTAGTTTTAGTCAAATGAAAATGCAAATTTATCAAGACAATATTGATCTAACTGGTACTCCAAGACTCATTAACAGCACAGATTGAGAATCGACTTTCAGTAATTAATTGCTTGTAAGCAAAACTTCTTAAGGTGAGTAGGGACTTGCTCAGTGTGTTGGCAAGTGCTGTAATTTGAAAGACTAAAATGTTCTGTTTGGTACAGTTTGAAGTTTGTATTCACAATTTAATAATATTGTGACTATTTCCAGATAAAAAAAAAGTTGTGAATGCCTTCTTTTTCTTAATGAGGGATCATTAACATTATAGGCTTGTATTTTAATATTTTACTGCAATTTTACTATTCCAGTTGGTACAAATTGTGTAAATAGCTTATCATACTCGTATTGCCTGAATGATAACTTAGAGGAATCTGCTTCCTCTATGAATGGTATAGAGTAGCTGTAACAATTGGAGAGATTCCGGTCTCCTTTTTTTTTTTAATTCTTTTACCCCTATAGCTTAATTTCCAAAGCACTATGAAAGTTAAAAATGTTTAAGATATTAGGGACAGAAATGCTAATGCTACTTTAATTACATGTAGCAGTCAACAAATTGCAGGACATGACTGGTTTTCTGTGTCTTGAAAATGAACAGAAACTGATCCATTACACTAAAGATAATTCGTTGACACTACTTCAATATACTTCAGTTGGTATAAATATAATTTAAAGTAGGGGTTGTACAGAGTGCTGGCCTTATTTACAGCGTTGACTTATAGTGACTGTGTCTGTTGTACAATAAATTCTGAAACACATTAAAAGGAGAAAAGTCAACTTAGGAGAGTGCTGATTGTATTTTGAGTGTTTCTGAACAACTGTTTCAAAATGATTGCAATCCTAAATTTGAAATGAAGCTAGAGTGAGTAGGAGTAGGCAGTGTTTTGCCTCCATCAAAACCCAACAGCACAACCTCTCCTTTATAGCTGCCTTTTGTGTCATCTTTACGAATAAGTATTAGATGTCAGACCCAGCTGATTTCCTGGCAGTAAACGAACCTGTACAGCAGGGATTTTGCTAGGCAAGGCCTTTCACTGCTGCCTTTCTCTCCCACTGCCAAAACAACAACCCCAGCATAATATCACAGAGCTTTTTCTGCTCCTTGGCCATGAAGGGTTGATCTGATAAGAGCTGTTTTGCAGCGTGGCTGGGAGGGAGAGCAGTGTCAGACCACATTGGCTCTCATGCCACGTTACTGGGAGAGAGGAGACTGAGGCACGTGTAGAGCTTTGAGATACAGGTGTGTTTGTGCATCCCTCTGTACAGTGAGGTGTGTTGACAGAATTTCTTAGGGTGACACCTCTCAGAGACATAAGAATACACAGTTCTATACTATACAACAGTGAGAATCAAAGTTATGACTGGACCTCATCCAAGAAATGAAGCTGAGCTTGGCTGGCTGCAAAAAGGTTCACGTGCAAATCAGAGCTCTGTGTGTTCTGCAGAACAGTACAGTGTAGCACCAGGCTGTGAAAACCAAGGCTTGTTCTCTGTATGTGAGAGAAAAGCCTTGAGAGAATGGAACTGAGAGACTGAGGTGAAGCACCTTTGCATGTTTTTGTGGTGTTAACTGTGCTCTTGGCTGGACTGACATTGATAGGCAACATCAGAACATCTAGAGCCTTATGAACTGGTCATCAGAATAATTATGATCTGTCTTGAGCAGATCAGAAAGTTCAGAGTGACAAAGCTAGTGCAGTTTTAATAGTGTGCACTGGTTTTGAGTTCAAGGTTGATTTGATTCCTTGCTTGGCTACAGGTGCAGCACACAAAATTGAGCAATGACCTTGGACAGAAATGCGATAGTCCTGAACCACTGGGTGTTGAATTAACACACCTCCAGCACTGTCCAAACCTCTTAAGAAAGCTGCAATTATACAGCTCTTTCTTTCTGTTTTTCTGTCTTTTTTTCCTCCATGTAAATTATGTATTATAGCCTTGTTGCACAGTTGTTTACCATCTGGCCATATGCTGTCATCAATAGATACTTTAAGGTTCCGGAGTGGCAAAAGTTAATCTTATCTCAAGTTACCTTGGGAAATACTTGGAAGAGATTTCTGCAGTCAGAGCTCCAGTATTTATTCTGTTGTGACTGCATGTGCTGAATACTCCCACTTAATTCCTAAAGTAAATACTGTTTTTCAGCTTCTTAGGCAATAAATAATGAATGCACTGCTGTATTATCCCCTAACTGGTGCCTTTCAAATCTTCTTATGGTCTTTGTTCTCAAATAATCAGGAGTGGGCACAAGCATGAGTATGGCTGTGTGTATTGGGGAAGAAACAGAACAAAGTTGTTTTCAGATGACTTGTTGGTTACTAAGCCCTCTGACAAAAAAATAGAGAGGTTAAGAGTGTCTTAAGTTCTGTTTAAAGGTCCACAATTTCATGACTCCTGCAGAGGAAGTGACATACAAAGCTAAAAGTCCTCCAGAAAACTTGGAATTATCGTTCCAGCTGTGGTGCAACAAACCTACAGTGCTCAAAATCCCTGTGGTTCCATGGAAGGACAGCAGCTCTGCCAGGCAGGAGCAAAGCAGGGTTTTACTGGTAAGAACAAAGACCTTTGGCAGGGACTTTTAAGACCACAAGGGACTGAAGGTGCTTTCCTTCCATGAGGAAGGGTTTGTGTGTCTGGCCTTTGAGGTTTGTGTGTATGTGTGGGGTTTGTGGTGGTGCTGTTGTTGTCACTCCTTTCCCAGCACAGCTATAATTTTACCCTCTAGGTAGGGAAACAATTTCCTGGCAGTACAAATCACTGATACATACATGGACTGCCTTTTGGAACTACCTAGAATTTCAGGATGGTGTAGGGCAGTCCTGATGCAGCAATGTTCATTTCTGCTCCACATTTTTCTGAAAACTGATGCATGTAACAGGTGCAAAGTTCTGAGCCAGATAATAGGTTTTCCCAGCTTCCACAGGAATGTGTAAGATAAACTTTTAGGACCTTGAGAACTCAGTATAACAAAAAATGCCTAAGGTCTGACTGCTTCTAACAGTGACATGAATTCTTTCCACACAGGTAGTTTGAAGAGAGAAGTTAAGTGCAGCAGGTTATGTGGTTTTGTGAATGTTTTCTAGAATGTGCATGTGTATAAAAATATTTGTATGTGGATTTTTAGCCCTACTACATTTTAAATTCCCCAGAAACTGTGCAGTTCTACTTTCTTACATATTTTAATCTTCATCTAAAAATGACCTTGCAAGAAATCTGCTCTAATTACATTCATTGTATCTGAAACTTCATTTGAATTAATCTGAATAAAGGCTTTTGCTCCCTTTCCTTAACTAACATATTTTTGCTATAACTGATTAGATGGGCTGTTTTGTCTTCAAATTAGCTGCTTTTTGATACCTGATAAAACAAGCTTGTATATATATATTTTTGTTCCTCACAGAGATTTTCATTCTTTTAACATGAGCATTTAAAAACATTTGGATGAAAGAATATTGAAGAAGCAAATCTGTTATATAGTTCATAATAACAATTTTTTTTTCTGATTGTTTTGATCATGAATTCTGACACAGCCAAATGCTAGAACTGTTGAAAAATGTAGAGGAAAGTGTAAAGAATTAAATAACATAAGTCCTACATCTATTGAGCTAAATACTAATATGAGAGGTGAATGAAGTGTGGATTTTATATTAGAATTAAATTCAGAAGACAACTTCATTAGTTGTCTTAGTATTCTCAAGATCACTTTTAACTTGGAAAGCTGATGTATCAGTGTAGTATTGTTAGCAGTAGTCTAACTAAAAATGTTAAAATAATTGCAAGTTTCTTATATAAAATCTGCTTGACAGGGCAGGTAGATGAGTGATACATATTCTTACTTGTTTTTCTATTTATGCACTTTCCAAGCAGTATGCACTGAAAATACTTTCAAAACAGGACCTTTTGTTCAAAGCTTGTATCTTAGTTACCCACTATGACTTTTAATTAAAGTTATATTTTAACAAAACCCCAACTTGTGCTTGTTACTTGATATTTGCCATTGCTTCCTGTAGTCTTTCTTTACACAGACAGAGAAGGGAAAAAAGAGAAAGATGACCCAGAGCTGCTGGTTCTGATGGAAGCATTCAAGAGAGCAGAAATATTACAGAACACGTTGCACAAATACACTTATCATAGACATGAAGAACATGGTTGCTGTAAGGATTACTATTTATGTTTAGAACTTTATTTTACTGATATAAAACCTGTAAAATCTTACCTCAAATATGTTAATCAGTTTCAAATACATAATAATATTTCACTGACATGAAGCTTATTGATATAAATATAAAACCACCTTTCAGCAAAACAAATAAAACCCCAAAATGACAAAAAAAGGAATTTTCTTCTACATGTCTTGAAGCTGAACACAAAAAGAACAAACAAGGTGTTATTAAAGATTTAAAGAAATAATCTTTACATTACTTATGCATTTTTTTTTTCTACAAAGAGAAGCGTACCTGTTTTATATACAATAATGTGTGGTTGCAGTTTTTGCTTCTGTTTTATATGGACATACTGCTCCTCAAGTATGCTTACATCCATCCTGGTAAGCTTCTTGTCACCATCTGAAACCTGTGGCTCTGAGCTATGAGTCACTGAAAAAATACCAGTCACGTATTTGTAAGCCTTCACCATCTGTTCCAACAAGGAAGAAAAACTCAAGCAGAAGCAGGACATTTCCTTCATTGTGATGGCAAAAAAAAAAGCAAATCAAGCGTGAAGCATCTGAAATCTTCCTAAATGAAGGAGTGACTTTCTTCCAAGCACGGTGCCTTGTGTCAGGAGCTGCCCGGTCTGCACTGGAGCTGTGGAAGTCACTCAGGTTCTTTTCATGCCGAGTGCCCGGAGCTCCTGCATACAAGAGTTCAGGATCAGGACTGCATAGCTGGATTCAATGTTTACTTAAGGTTGTGAGCACATGAACCTTTGCCAAAAAAAACAGTGAAGTACAAACCCTCGTTGAACACAGCCAAATACAGAAAAGGCTGGGTAATACTGGTTTATGTAGCAATGCTAATTCTCAAATACATGCTGTTGTGGAGGCATCCCCAGGTCAGCAGTTCCACCTTGGAGATATTTTTCTTTTTGCCTGTGTATTTTGTGTCTTTCTCCCCGACTCTTCCTTCCTGAACTTTTAGTTACATTATTGCTGACGCTTCATGGGGCACTGGGGTGGGAGGGGAGGATTTATCAAGCTTTCATACTTTTATGCTTATTGTTGCCTTTCAAAAAATATGTTAAAAGTATTCAGAGTCAGAAAAATATGGGCCAGCAACACTTGGAATTGGAAGGCTGGAGACAGGAACGCCTTAGTCTGACTCATTCAGAACTTCTGCTGTTCTCTAAAATGAAATAAACTACAGAAAGAATAATTTTGTTAATGAGAGCTGAGGAAACTTTAAAAATGCATGGTAAGCTAAATTTCAAAACTTAATGCTAACATTATTATCTCACAACGAGGCAAAAATTTGAAAAACTCGTGGCTTTTGATCATATCAGGTAGAGTATAACACTTTGCCTGGGCTGTGTACTGCAAGTTTTTGTTCCTGAAATAGGTCTATCAAGGGCCCAAGACAGTAGTATGTGAAAAAATTATGCAGTTAAACTGTAGCTTTAATACAATTGTGCATCTGCTCATTCTCACGCAGTGGCACATTTTTGGTAAGAGTTTAAAAGGACTGTGTCAAAACTAATTTGAGTACACAGTCGGTTATTTCCTAAGAGCCGCTTTGAATGTAAGGCTGAAGTTTTGTAACTAAAATGTCATCCTCTACAGACAATTTACCTTTTGTGTGGCATAAACCAAGTAGAGAAATAAGGCTTGAAATCCAAACTATTGATGGAAGGGGCAGAGAATTGTCAGAATGGTTGGCTAAGAAATGCAGGCTGATAATAAAGACAAGGAGGAAAGGCACTGGGCACAGCTCTGGCACATCGGCACCAGAGCAGCCTCCTGTGAATCCCCCTGAGCTGGGATTGCCCAGCAGCAGCTCCGGTACCCACCTGCACCCCGCAGGATCGGCACAGCCTCCGGGGGATGCTGGGGGATCCTTCCCGGGAGCAAGGTGAGAGCTGCTGGCCTTGAGGCGAAGGGCCCGGAGTGGGGCTGCGGGCACAGCAGCAGCAGCAGCAGCAGGTTCCCATGGAACCCAGGCCCTGGGAACATGGGAGCCAGGCGGGCGCTTGTCACAATGGACTGCGTGAGGTATGGCCAGAGGAAACAGCAATGGGTTCCACGGTGGGTTTTTCCAGTTTTGTGGGCTTCAAGTCCTGCGATACACTTAGAACTGTGAATCTCCTGTGCTGGAAATGTAGGCTCAGGTGGGTCTGTGCAACATCTCCAGATGTGGTATCCTCCATCAAGCACTGTGGCATTCACATTCTCTGAACAGAGAGACATAATTCTCTCTCCCAGGATTTTTCTGGGAGAAGCACAGAGAGAAGAAGACAAAACAATTCTTACCTCTATTCTGCTCCTGTTGTTTTTGCACATGTAAAATGTGTTATGGAGATTCTTTACTGAGAGTGTGTTCTTAGTTGGGTTCTGGTGATGGTTGTTTATATTAATTGGCGTGTTAGGTCCAAGCTGTGTCCTGGCTGTCTGGAGATGGTCACAGGTTTTTCTTTAGTATCTTTTTAGTATTCTTTAGTATCTCATTAGTATAGTTATGATATAGTATTAATGTAATATAGTATAGTTTTAATAAAGCAATTTTTCAGCATTCTGAATCAACGGAGTCAGATGCCGATCATTCCCAGATGCTGGGGTCGCCCTGCATACCATAAAGCACAACAGAAGTCACAGAATCACAGAGTATCCCAAGTTCTGAGGGATCCACAGGGATCATCAAGTCTGAAGTGAATGGTCCATAACTCCATGGATCAAACCCACAACCTTGGTGTTATTAGCACCATGCTCTAACCCACTGAGTTCAAGTCAATGGAATTGTAGGGAAGATTATTGGTTTGAAGTTGCCTTGAGTGTGGTAATTTCTCTTAGGAATGGATAACACTCCTGTCACTTTGACAATAGGCTTTTATTTATCTATTGGTCTCTTTTCAAGATACCTTGTGAGGGGATGTTTTATTTTTCTGGCTGAGAAGAGTTTGTGTCTAGAAGGACATAAGCCACGGCTGTTAGACTGGTAATAATCACTCACTTCTGAAAACTTGCACAGGTTTGTGGTGCTGTTGTGGCACAAGAGAATTTAATGGAATCATGGAATGTTAAGGGTTGAAAGGGACCTCAAGGACCATCTTGTCCCAACTCCCCTTGCCGTGGGCTGCGACACTTCCCACTAGATCAGGTTGCATAAGGAATTGTCCAACCTGGCATTTATCACTGTCAGGTTTGGGGAATCCACAGCCTCCCTGGGCAACCTGTTCCAATATCTCACCACCCTCACAGTAAAGAATTTCTTCCTAACATCCAGCCTAAACTTCCCCTCTATCAATCTGTACCCATTGCTCCTTGTCCTGTCACTACAAATCCTGATGAAGCGTCCCTCTCCAGCTTCCTTGTAGGCTCCCTTCAGATACTGGAAGGTTGACATGAGGTCTGCGCACAACCTTCTCTTCACCAGGCAGGATGTTAAATCCTCTCTATAAAAATCAGTAGTGCTACAACAGTTACATCTGTGTAGTTGAAATTGTTACATTCCCTTTGTGCAGGGGTGGTAAGAGCAGGAAGATGTATTACAGTCTGGTAAGGAAGGTGTGTTGTTACATGGTATCAGGGAACTGAGTAATAAATTCCAAGTTTTGTTTCCTAACAAAATACTGGGGCTGGTTGGGAAGCAACAATATGTTATTATAAAATTTATATATAAGAAAGAGATGCCATTTACTAAGACCCATTAAACAACAATAGAAATGAGCAGGGGATGTATTCATTGATTTTAAAAGTAATAAAAATATTAAAGATTATGTAGTCACAATCTTCTGTAGCTAGTAATAGTATTAAACCCTCAGCAGGTTGACCCATTAAAGTTTTAGTCAAGTTTTTGACTAAGTTTTAGGTATTACTGAATATCATAAGACATACAATCCAAGCCTCCTTGCAGCTTTAGAAATTCTGGGCCCTTTCCTATTTGGGAAAGGGTAAAAGTTCAGTTTGTTGCAGGCTGGCGTGCATTTTGTAGCAGAAATCTGCTGATGTGCCCAAAGTGCTGCAGTGGGTGATTTCAGAGGAGGCTTTTGGCAGGAGCTGGAAGTGTTGCAGCCGTTCTCTTTGCTGAGACTGTTCAACAGGCTTGAGCTTCCCAGCTGCCTGAGCTCAGACAGTTCACTTGCTCCTTCATGTTCCTTGGGTTGCACATCAATGATTGACTGAATCAGGCTGAAATCCTGCAGATCTTGGGAATCCCCTTGGAGGTTCTGTGCCTGCAGGTGACAAGACTCTAGATATGCAGTGCACAGGGTTCTGGGAAGGCTCAGCAGGCTCACGTGTGTAAGTCTGCTGTAGCTGGCTTGTTAATAATTACTCCTGCCTTCCCAATATGCTTGTGTCTTACAGTTGGGTTACCTGCTTCAGCTGTAGTCCTTTCCTGCCTTAGCCAGGGAGACAACAGTAAACACAATACTTTGTCAGACTCTGTGGATACTCTTGAAGTTGGCTTCTCTCTACCTCAGAAAAAGCACATATCATGTTAGAATTGTTCTGATGTATCATGGCTTTGTTAGATCTACTTTGATACTCTGCCTTGAGCAGTGACAAACACCTGGTTCTCTCTAGCAAGCAGTGCTTCAATTGCCTTGTTTGTCCAGTGTTCTGAGCTGTTGTCACATGGAGTCTGCCTCTGGACCTTCAGGCAGTTGGCTTATACATTGGGACAGGGGATTTAATTAACCTCATTACAGTTTGAGCTGGCATTCAATACAAACATTATTAATGGTCATAAAAGTTACCCAACCTTTTTAAAATTCCAGTCACGCTGTTTCACTCTCTGACCTCCTGTGAAAGTGACTTGTGCAGCCTGCCTGTGTGTGTGGCAGGAGGAATTACTGGGACAGCATCCTTAAACCTGAAACACAGGCTCTGTCTTCAGAGATGTGAGCTTCACTTCTCATTAGAAGAGCATTTAACTTGTAATGAGTTTGTATCTGATCAGAAATTATTATTAATTATTTGTGCTGCACCATTCCCTCAGGATCACAGAAAAGCCATCACACGTAGACACGTGAATGGTTTATACAAGTCAGTTCCCTCCCAGGCAGTTCCACGGGTAAGCAACAGAACCACAAAGCAGGCAAAGGAGCCAGATGGCCAGTGAGACAAAGGGAATGGGCCCAGGTGGTACAGCAGAGAGGAGGAACTGCAAACAGGATTAGCTCAGCCAATCCCATGTACATCGCAGTTTGTTTGCTTCTCAGGGAAAACTTGTGAGCAGAGTCTGCATAGAATTGTTAAGGCTGGAAGAAATCTTTATGATCAGCAAGTCAGCCCAGCACCACCATGTTCACCATTAAACCCTGTTCTCAGGTGCTGTTCCCCAAGGGCTCTATAACCCTTTCCATGAAAATATGTTCCTAAAATCCAATCTGAACCTCTCCTGGTGCAATGAGAGGCCATTTCCTCTCATCCTGCCACTTGTTACCGAGAAGATACCGTCCCCCACATCACTATGCCCTCCTGTCAGGAGCTGAAGAGAGTGAGAAGGTCCCCCCTGAGCCTCCTTTTCTCCAGA